ATATAATATCATTGGATTCAAATTTAATTCCATCCATTACAGTAACCCACTTGTAACCTACTGTACAGCAGAGCGACATCCACGACTTACCCGCCTTTTACATTAAATTTAGGGGGCAATATAACAAAAAAAAAATTAAGGGTTCTGTAATAAATACAGATAATATTGGTTATGATTTCACATTATGAATACTAAATATAAAATAGTGGTCATCCTATTTCAAATTAATATATTTTATAACGTTATGAGTTTATGWCTAAAGACCGGATTTCCGTACAAATGCATATATGTTATGGCGTGTTCTAAATTTTACAGAAACAAGCTACAAATTCAAATCATAAGATGTAGATTACTTTAAACAWGGTTTATGTTGCAAAAATTGCGTGTTTTGGGATTTATGCATAAAATTGTACGTTTTGAGATTTTTTATAAAAATGTACTAATTAGTATTTATGTAGTTATGTTCAAATTTTGTTGTATTATTTTKATCGTTGCTATATTATGTTGATATATATGGAGTTCCTTTTATATAATATAATTATATATATCGATATAATATGACGTAAATAAAATAATGATTATTAAAATAGTCAATAGATTATTGATTACACGTACACGGTACACATAGAACAGGACTACAATCCATCCGCAGCACCCAGAAATTTTAATCAAATATTGTAAAGTCAATTGCTTATAGATATACAGGGTGTCCCACAGAGATCTGACATTATGACAAATGAAATAACTTTTGTTCTAATCAATATTTTTTAAAAATWTATTTTAAATATAATCCATAGACACTTGAGCTACATTTTTAGAATACCTACATTTTTTATTTTTTATTTATACATAAGCTTATTGACAGACGTGTGGATGCTCCCTTTCTCCTTTCTCTAGTTAATTTTAAAGTTCCCTCTCACTTTACTAGGTCTAATTTTCCCTTTGTTATTACTTATTCCCATCCACAGCACCAACTACGGTAGAAATAATCCTATTCACCGTATGATGC